TGTCATTTAAATAAAAAAAATAACCTTAAGGGACAACTTGAATGCTTTTTTCCTTTTTTTTCTCTTAATGCATTGCATAAAGATCGGATCGGGAAAAATCGGTATCGGCAGATTGTCAAAATCAAATGATCGGAATCGGATCGGGAGCAAAAAAAGGTGATCGGGACATCCCAGCTCCAACAGTGGACGTTATTTGGTTTTGTATGAATCAAACAAAAATAAAGTCTACTCTCAATCTGATCAAAGAGCTGCATTTCAATGTTAAACAGCACTATACAAAGGATCTCAATGGAGCCAGTGATTATTATAGGATAGCCGTTTCTTATATCTTACTTTTTAAATCTGCACTGATTTCTGACTATTTTACTCCAACCATATGGGCTCAGCTACAAACAGGATCAGATGTGCAACTTGTGTTTGTTCAGGTGCACTTCAGTGACAGAAAGAGGCCGAGCGCACACAGTGCTGAGGGAATAATATGGAGTCAGAAATAAGGACACTTGCTAAACCGACAGATTTGGACTATTCACATATCCAGATTTAAACACTAAGACACATTATAAGTATCACAACAAGGGAGTCACTATATATGTATGTAACGTTGCAATTTAAGTCTCCTTATCTGAGTCTGAGTTTAGAAATCAAACATTAAATTAGTGGGGTTTTAATCCAATATGTCATCCAAAAAGTGCAATCAACCATGAGGATACAGCAAGAAGTTAATTAGTTTGAAGTAAGCCAAACCTTTATAAGTGCTGCATTTTTTCCTATTTTTAGCAAATGACATCACCCTAACACAGGGGTGCTGTTAGAAATTAAAATCAATGTTGGTATGGCGTAATTTGAATTAAATACACTATTTAATTTAAATCAGTTTTATTCTGAAAAACCGGAAGTTCACTAACTATTAACTTAATACTTTTATTCTGAAAATTATTCACTTTCGGTTAGCATTAGCATGTGGCGAAATGCTGCCTTTTCAAACCGTGAATTAAAGGTGAAATTACATGTGATGTTGTACACTGAGCACACTGGGTTTAGCACTCATTTATTACCGCTGAATAACGTTTATTAGGGAATGTTTAAATAACCACAGACACCAGAATGATATAATTTAACAACAGAAAAAGGCAGGAATTGGCCGACGACGCCGGCCAATAGGAGAAGACCTCAGATGACAGCAGGAAGAGCAAGCCAAGAATTTACCTCCTCTACCTGCTGACCTGGACTGACCGGTCGGATGAGGAGAGCGCCTCCAATCGCACATTTCATTTTGTACACCACCGCATATTTTGTGTAATTAAATGCTGTTAACTTTTATAAGCTTCCCTTGACTCTTTTCAGTCTCTCCTGCCTTCGGGGTTCTAGAATACACTAACAGTGCCCAACCTTTTTTGAACCGAGAGCTACTTTTAAAGTTGCCGGTCTGCCGAGATCTACCAGTCCAAATAGAGAGGCGTAGTTACTGACAGCCTACTACCAGGTAAATACACACTTCTACTTGTATAAAACTGACCTTTGTACGATGAATACTTCCTAAAATACTGCAGATCCTTTATCTTACCTCTTTGTTATCCAAGTACAAATACAAGTATTTAGCTTAAGTTGCACAACAGTGTTGTTGATACAGAGTTGGAGTTTATTCACAAAAGTATAAATTAGGCTTAATAATAATGTAATACGCTACACAGGAATCTGCTGCCAAAGTGCAATAAAAAAGACAACATTAATAGAATCAAACCCTTTTTTGATGCATTTTAGTAGAATATAAACAAATGCCTTTAAAATAGGATGCAAGCAACACTAGTTTCTTAACCTGAATTGATAATAGACTAATCAATTTAAGTTTGCATTCTTATACCATTTTGTACAATAATTATAATGAATAAGTTCAAAAAAACTAAAACTTACAGCAGATTAATAACGGTATCTAACTTGAGTTTTTATTATATCAAAAACCTGTTTAAATGCTTCTGTTATTTTTACTGTCCCCAAAAAGCGCCTCGGCAGCCTCCAGGAATGCTTCTTTCACAACTTCGCCGTCTTTGAAAGACTTCATGTGTTTTGCAAGAAGTGACTGACACGATAAGATGCTATGGTAGCAGCCTTGCTCTTGTTGTTGGGCCTGGTGAAAATGGACTGCTGTGCATTTAGCTCTCCTTTCAGGCCCCTCCCCTTTTGGGAGCGTAGAGCAGAATTAGGAGGGAATTCCGTCTCGTAGCGTTTGTGCACTGTTTTGAAATGCCGCTTCTCAATGACCCTTCTTCGATAAAGCAACGCTCGCATTGCAGATGAGACAGATGGACTTTTAATTGGAATAGATACAAAAATAATCATCCTCCCACTCGGAGTGAAAATTATATATTTTGGGCTTTTTTGCTACTGCCACTGCCCACCAGCCACGCCCCAACACATGGGATCACGCCGGCCAATCACAAAGCTTTGATGCTTTCAAGTGCATTATTCTGGCACAGGAAGATTATGTTATAGGACATTAACGATACAACTGAATATTGTTGTTCTATTTTTAGACACATCTCGCGATCGACTGGGAATCTCCCCGCGATCGACTGGTTGGGCACCCCTGCCCTAACAGTTTCCGACACTTGGCGCATTTCCACTGCAGCGCGTAGCACGGTGTAAGCGTGCCGTGCCAAACCCGGCCCGTTTTTTGTTGCGATTCCACTCGGGGTAGTTCCGGCTAACGGGTGCTTTTTGACCGTTTTTCTGGCCCTTCAAAATCGTGGTTCTTTCCGGACCAACAACCGGGCTGAGTATGCTAAACTAGTGAGAGAATCGCTTGTAACTACAACAAAATGAACATATTTTACCGAGATTTAATTTTAATACACGTTTCAAAATGATGCCGAAGTAACAACATACTGATGCCGGTTAGTAAAAATCATGAATTAATGCTTTGACAAGTTTGCAGACAGACGGCAGACGAAAAACCTTTTAAAATGTGTGTTCTCTGAATGGAGATTGGCTAAGCTAACGCAGTATATGCTCCGACCGTCCACACTCACAACAACGGCCTACAGACATAAATAAAGCAGCGACTGTATTCGCCATGACACAGACAGTCTGTGGTTTGTACTTGTTTAACTTTTGTCTAGTTTCTGAACAGATATGAAGAGCTGTGAGCTCTGAGTGCTAAGAGCTAACGGCTGTGTTGGTTTTGTGGTTTGCATTGAAGATGACGTCACGGCTCCGCCTACACTGCGAGTGCGTTACTATAGTTACCGCCCCAGCTACTAAACTGTAATGGAAACGCAGCATAAAGTGAGCCTGGCCTACCAAGGCCTAACTATACCGTACGAGGCCCTGCAGTGGAAATGCGCCATTACAGTACTAAAGACACCAAAATGGCTCCTCAGAACAACACAAAACTGACAATAGCTGTTAATCTAGCCTTCAGGACTTTGTTATAACAATAATTTGAGCCTGACAAGAAGCAGCTCTTCTGTCTCGATTTAAAGCCAGCACTGAAAAGAAGAAACTTGGCCTATAATGAGTGGTCCAGAGAGGGGATAGAAAAGGTAAGAGGACAAAGGGGACGTTGTGATAAAGTTTCTGATTATAAAAGTCGAGAATAAGCAGGGAACAATGGAGTAACCTGATTCCTGACACAGCAGGAAACTAGAGACAGGGTGTGTTTGTGAATGTAACTCAGAGCAGCATGTCAGTCATTTAAGACCGTCAGGCCATTATATAATCAGCATCAGCAGCAGATTAACAGTCCTCCAGCACTCACTGAAAAGGGCAGAAGTTTCCAATGTGCCAATGACTGGGCATTTTGCTTGTGTATTGTTTTTTAAAATGGAATTAAAAGCAACACAATGTTCTTTGAGTCACTGTAAGGACAATGCTTACAGTGAGGTTTCCTCTTTTTTGGCATTTTTACAGGGGCAAATGTATTGATCTTTTTGCTTTTAGGAAGCAGACTCAATAGCACAAAGTACAAGCAGAAATATTTGTAATAAATCCAGAAAGAAAAGAGTTTTGCTGAATCATTATCAAAACAGAAGCAAAATAAGTGTGTCAATAAGCATGGTCCTGTAGTACCCTCCCTGCCTTCCTATCGGCATACAGTTTCAACTATGGAGTAAGATGAACATGTCAGTTACTATAATAAGACTTGTGATGCTAAGATGCTAACGCATGCACAATGCTAACTGGTCACTCTGACAATGCTAACATGATCACAATGACAATGCTAAAATACTTACATTGAAAATGCTAACATAATCACAAATAAAATGACAATGCTAACTGGCTGCTCTGATAATGCTAACATCATCAAATAGAATATGCTATGATGATCACAATGACAATGCTATCATGTTTACATTGAAAAGCTAACTCGATCACAACAACTCTGCTAACTGAGCCAAATTACAATGCTAACATGCTAACATAGACAAGCTAACTCGATCACAACAACTCTGCTAACTGAGCCAAATTACAATGCTAACATTGACAATGCCTATGTTCAGCAGTTTTATAGTGAAACACGTTCATCATCTTAGTTTAGCTTGTTAGCATGCTAACATATACTAGCGTAAACAGAGGCATTACATCCATAGGCCTCGATCGTTCCATAGGAAATGTTATAACTTATCTTAGTGGGAAAACACCGATGTTACCAATAACATAAACAATGTCTCTGTTCTGTCCTATTGCCTGACAATGAAGCAGCACAACGGATTTGTCGATTCATTAGTTAAATTACTTACACCTGAACTTTCTACACTATTTATACCAATACAAATGGCAGTTTCTCAGGATGGGACAAAGGCTTGTTGTGTGGGGATGCAGTTTACTGTTGAAAATCTTCACTTTCTAACCCCTGACAGTGCAAAAACACCTAGAAAAACACAGCTGTTTGCATGCATTTCTTCAGCTGGTTGTCTCTACATTTGAGATGAAAGCACAAAGATAGAAGGGTCAGAGCTTGGTCACAGCAGATGTATTAGAAATGGTTCTGGTTGCTCTCGTACCTGCATTTGAGTCGGGTCTGCGCCTCCTCAAAGTCATTTCTGAGGAACAAATCCAGGGCGGCCATGCAGTCGTCCAGAGCCAGAGACAGTTCTGACCGCGAGCACCTGCAGATCAACAACATCTTGATTAGGAAAGAAAGATCATGTATGAAAGTACAGCATCATCTCATAAGCTCTGGGTATTTGTTTCAATTCTTATATCTGAAATCAAGGCAGTTATAATATATACTGGATACCCGGGGAGATTTGGTCTTCCCTTAAAGTTGACTTCATGGCCTTGCTTATAATATCAATCTCCAATCCCACTTTATTTATATAGCACATTTAAAAACAACATCGTTGACCAAAGTGCTGTACATCAATACATATATAAAAAGCAGCATAAATACATGTAGACAAAACAGATAGGACAAATGTAAAAACACGAGACAATAAAACCACAGACTGAAAAACTCATACATGACACAAGAAAATAAAAATAGTACAATATGGCGCAAAAGTGTGAGAAACAATGAGAAAGTTTTATTGGAATATGCAATGTACTCAACAGTATGTCACTCAACCCAGTCTCACGGCATTTCGTGTTATTTTGAAATTCAGTTCCTGACGGACGCCAAAAAAGCCCGAGATTATGGAATTAAACCAATAAATAAAAGCAAGGATAATTGTGTGTTATTGGTGAGTAAATAACAGTGTGTTATTTTGAAAATAATAACAAATTAGAAGGAAAAAAAGATTTAAAAAATACAGATTTCAGTATTCTGAGGCTCTGAGCCATTTATTTTCCTCACGGCAACAAAAGTCCGAAATTATACGATTTAAAATAAAAGCAATAACTGTGGCTTGATATTGAGTAAGAACATGTTTTTATGAACCACACAGCTTCCGGTCTTCCTCGACCCGACCGGAGAAAAAGACGTGCTGCAGGCAGTAGAAATACATTGCTTTTAAAATCGTGCTGTGCAACACGAAAAAAAGGGGCAAATCGTGTTGGTGAACACGAATCAATAGATTAAAAATCGTGTTGGTGAACACGAAATGCCGTGAGACTGGGTTGTGTCACTCTAGGTCTGACTATTTCACAGTCTAGTAATATAAAGGTTTCTTAAAAACATTCCCACATTATTTTCAGACCCTCAGTTGCATCATATTTCATTATTATTCACTCTCTTTAAGTCTGTTCTGCTCAAACCAGTTCCTTAAACTCTACTGCAGAGACCCATCTTTTGTCTTTCAGTAGTTGTTGTGAGTCTCTTATAGTCTTTCAGTAGTTGTTGTGAGTCTCTTATAGTCTTTCAGTAGTTGTTTTGAGTCTCTTATAGTCTTTCAGTAGTTGTTTTGAGTCTCTTGTAGTCTTTCAGTAGTTGTTTTGAGTCTCTTATAGTCTTTCAGTAGTTGTTTTGAGTCTCTTGTAGTCTTTCAGTAGTTGTTTTGAGTCTCTTATAGTCTTTCAGTAGTTGTTTTGAGTCTCTTATAGTCTTTCAGTAGTTGTTTTGAGTCTCTTGTAGTCTTTCAGTAGTTGTTTTGAGTCTCTTATAGTCTTTCAGTAGTTGTTTTGAGTCTCTTATAGTCTTTCAGTAGTTGTTTTGAATCTCTTGTAGTCTTTCAGTAGTTGTTTTGAATCTCTTATAGTCTTTCAGTAGTTGTTTTGAGTCTCTTATAGTCTTTCAGTAGTTGTTGTGAGTCTCTTATAGTCTTTCAGTAGTTGTTGTGAGTCTCTTATAGTCTTTCAGTAGTTGTTGTGAGTCTCTTATAGTCTTTCAGTAGTTGTTTTGAGTCTCTTGTAGTCTTTCAGTAGTTGTTTTGAGTCTCTTATAGTCTTTCAGTAGTTGTTTTGAATCTCTTGTAGTCTTTCAGTAGTTGTTTTGAATCTCTTATAGTCTTTCAGTAGTTGTTTTGAATCTCTTGTAGTCTTTCAGTAGTTGTTTTGAGTCTCTTATAGTCTTTCAGTAGTTGTTGTGAGTCTCTTATAGTCTTTCAGTAGTTGTTTTGAGTCTCTTATAGTCTTTCAGTAGTTGTTGTGAGTCTCTTATAGTCTTTCAGTAGTTGTTTTGAATCTCTTATAGTCTTTCAGTAGTTGTTTTGAGTCTCTTATAGTCTTTCAGTAGTTGTTTTGAATCTCTTATAGTCTTTCAGTAGTTGTTTTGAGTCTCTTATAGTCTTTCAGTAGTTGTTTTGAATCTCTTATTTCAGTAGTTGTTTTGAGTCTCTTATAGTCTTTCAGTAGTTGTTTTGAGTCTCTTGTAGTCTTTCAGTAGTTGTTTTGAGTCTCTTATAGTCTTTCAGTAGTTGTTTTGAGTCTCTTGTAGTCTTTCAGTAGTTGTTTGAGTCTCTTATAGTCTTTCAGTAGTTGTTTTGAGTCTCTTGTAGTCTTTCAGTAGTTGTTTTGAGTCTCTTGTAGTCTTTCAGTAGTTGTTTTGAGTCTCTTATAGTCTTTCAGTAGTTGTTTTGAGTCTCTTGTAGTCTTTCAGTAGTTGTTTTGAGTCTCTTATAGTCTTTCAGTAGTTGTTTTGAGTCTCTTGTAGTCTTTCAGTAGTTGTTTTGAATCTCTTATATTCTTTCAGTAGTTGTTTTGAGTCTCTTGTAGTCTTTCAGTAGTTGTTTTGAGACTCTTATAGTCTTTCAGTAGTTGTTTTGAATCTCTTATAGTCTTTCAGTAGTTGTTTTGAGTCTCTTGTAGTCTTTTATGTAATTTCCTGGTTGGTACATGTCTCTTTAAATGGCATTTGTTAGCTGAAGGCCATGAGCATGTGCAGTAATCCATCAATGTTCCTTATTCTTTTCTACGTCACAAGACAAACAGAAACGCAGGCAGGGTGAGCCGGACAAGTGAAAGTGCTTTGCAGTTAACTCCTATCTGCCCTGTCTTAATGATTGTCCATAATGTTGCTATGCAGATCATTACACATGATGCTCCTCACGTGGCCTGTGAAATGTGACCAAATTGATTCTCTGTACTCCTACTTTATTCATAAAATAGCTCCCTACCTTTTGATTTCACTTGCTGCACTCATAGATAAGAACCCTGAAAACCACTGAAAGGCTACTATACTAACACTTGTGAATAGCAGCATTTCCAAACGTCTGAATCATAAAGAAATGTTTCTATTTGACCCAATGTGGTCCATTTAAAGACGTCGATCCACAAGCATCTTAGCTTATATGATTTATCAGTTGAATGTAAAATAGACAAAAGCTTGATACACATCAGAGCTACATTACACTTCACTTGTTAGACGCTTTTATCCAAAGTGACTTACATACATTCAGTACTGTGGGCAATCCACACAGGAGTACTTTGGGGTGAAGTGTCTCAGGGACACAACGACATGCTGACTGCAGTGGGACTCGAACTTGCTACCCCCTGATTCGAAGTTCAGCGCACTATCCACTGTGACACAGCCTCCCACTACAGCTACAGATTACGGTTAAAAAAAAACTGTTCATCTACCGTTAAACAACAAATCTGTTTGGTGATTACCGATGTATCTGTTTATGCTTACACACAAGACTCAAAACTCACCATCCCAGAAGGAAATTAACACAACCAAACACACACTACTTAATATACAAACAAAATGGCTCCAATGGATATGTTTACATGTGTGTTTTACTCCCTTCGTTGATGGTAAAAACAGCAGCCAGCTCAAACACTCGTAATGAGCTGAATCTATGACTGTGAATCTGAAACACTGATATTATTCAGGACTCGCTCATTAATGGCCTTTATTCTGAGATACTTGAGATATCGCTGGCCTACCGAGCTGTGAAAGGAACAGCTCTTTTCTATATCCAGGCCTTGGTTAAACCATTTACTCCAGCTTGTTCACTACGCTCTGCGTCAGCCAATCGGCTTGCTGCTCCATCACTGTGATAGATATTTAGATAAATAAGTAAATTGCAAGATAACAACAGTGGAATGTTTATCGAGGCACTTAACAGAGCTCAGTCTTATTGCCTGTAGTGTGTTGGAGTTTGAATCGTTACGGTTTTTGCACTTATTGTAAGTCGCTTTGGACAAAAGCATCAGCTAAATGATGTGTAATGTAATATTTGCTATTAAAGTGGAATGTGTTAAAATGCAATTTGTGTTTTGACCTTATAGCAGTATACGGTTTACTGGACCCGTTTCGAGTTGGGAAAAAGGCAAACTTTTATTTGAAGGCCCGATTTTCTAACGCTGTGCATGCAGTAGGCGTTGGACTGGAAGTACCGACCATAAACGGTTTTGAAAACTTCTGTCACGTCACGTAATGTTCATATTCTCAATAAAACATCTTTGCTGATGTTTTTTCGAGTCTTCTGGCCAATCAGAATCAAGATTGTTGCCGGAAGTCCCCACGGAGAATAACTTTGCGATAACTATTCTATATACATCCATGGGTACAACTTCAGATAAAAATGAACACATAATGAAATATGACCCCCGGTTTGATGATTGACAGGTCACAGAACAATGGGGGCTATCTACCCTTACCCACAATTGAAAGTAAGTCACACAGACTATCTCCTCGTTGCTCTTCTCTCTGTGTCGAGCAGCAAGTTCAGCTTCAGAACAAAGTGAAACACAAACAATGGCATCAAATATTATTAATGTCGGGTAGTAATAGATTTATTTATTTTCCTCTCAGTGTACCAGAACGCGTAGTTTATATTCTAGTATTTCTAAAAATGCATGTGTGCCTTTTTATGAATAGATTTGAGTGGTTCAAAATTTCGTGTCGCGATTGATTGACAAAGGAAAAAAGTGGGTCCCGAGGCTGGACCAGTTGAGAACCACTGCTGTAGATCACATGAGCATGACGTTTCTTTCCCATTTAGATTTACCAGCTGGAACACACTCAGTTAATCATTATCGAAACACACACACCACACACACACACACACACACACACACACACACACACACACACACACACACACACACACACACACACACACACACACACACACACACACAGACACACACACACCACACACACACACACACACACACACACACACACACACACACACACACACACACACACACACACACACACACACACACACACACACACACACACACACACACACACACACACACACACCACTTCAGGGGACAT